ATGATTTAAACTCTGGTTCCTACGGAGCAGGGATGAGAGCCCAGATCCCATCGTCCTTTTGTTCAGTTTTTTGGACACGCAGAGCAAGGAAAGGGAGAATTCTAATGGCTTGGTGGAGAGCAGTTATCTCCTGTAAGCTCCCCTCTCCCACCCCCATAGTTTGTGACGGGTCATATATTTGATTACGCAAAGTAAATTGGGAAATCATATCTCCGCAATCCCATCTGGGATTATTTATTTCGCCGCGCCCGCAGCCAAAGTCGTGAAATGGTACAATGTTTCGAGAGTAGCTTTCCACGGGAGGAGATGGATTCGAGGTCATCTCTGGAGAAACCAAAGCTGCAGCCAGCCACAGCAAAGCACTTCTACTGAGATGCCCAGAAGTTTCCAAACATCAGTCACCAGCCCCGGCGCTGGCGGCAGGTTGATTTAACAAGGCGTTTAGGCTGGTGCTGGAGGGAGAGGACTCCTACCATCCCCTCCTTCCCCATCCTCATCTGGAGGCCTCTGAAGCCAAAAGTCGGATGGGCCGAGTCAGGAGGAAGCCGGGCCTCCAATTTTACGTAGCCTCGGGGTCTCTGCAGTTCGCCGAGTTAATGGCTCATGCCTGTAATCCCAACAGTCTGGGAGGCGGAGGTGACAGGATTCTTTGAGGCCAGAGTTCCAGACCAGCCTCAGCAACATAGCTACCGCATCTCTATAAAAAAAATAACAAAAATTAGCCGGGTATGGTGGTGCTTGCCTGTAGTCCCAGCTACTAGGGAGGCTGAGGCAGGAGGATCGCTGGAGCCCAGGGGTTCGAGGCTGCAGTGAGCTATGATGACACCACTGCACTCCAGCCCAGGCAACAGAGCAAAACCCTGTCTCTAAAAACAGAACACAACAGAAATAATACAAATAACAACTCTCAAGTATTGAATGCGTGGGCAGGTCACCTTGCCAGTCTGTCTACAGGTATCATCGCCTTTAAGGTTAACTCCATTTTGCAGTTGAGGAAAGTGAGGCACAGAGGAAGGTTAAGGATCCGCCTCACTATCACCGAGCCAAGGAGTGGCAGATTGGGCGTTCGAACTCGCATCTGTCAGGCTCCGGGGAGCTCGGGCTCGGTCCTCAAGCTGGATTGTCCGCGCAGAGCCCTGGCGGAGAAAAGGGCTCAGGGAAGGCTTAACTCCCGCGACCAGCTCAGTGAGCGGGGTGGGAGGTGGCAGGGCCAAGCCCAGGGCCCTTGAGCGGGATCCGAGCCTCTGCGCCAAGCGCTAGGTAGGCAACGCCAGGTTTCGGGGAGAACCAGGTGGGACTGGCGCAAGGAATGGACCGTGAGCGGGAGCCAATGGGAAACACGCTTCCCTCTTTTATTTATTTCATTTTATGTTTAATTTTTGGAAGGGTGTTTGGAAGGAAAAAAAGCCACCCTCATCAAGGGGGTGGAGGAAGGAACTACACTCCCTCCTGCCTTTCTGTTCAGGTTTGATTCTTGCTTGCTAAAAGGGGGCTTCTCACCAGGTGGGTCAGAGCAGCTCCGGGACGGAAAGGGGTACAGAGTGAGAGATATTTGGGGTAAAGGGAGAGGAAGGCAGAGGGGGTAGCGGCCCCGCTCCAGCCAGCTCTGAGAGAAGCGAACCCCGCCGGCCGCCCCCACCCAGCAACTCCGGCTGAGTCAGCAGCGGCCCCGCCACTTTGTAATTTACAAGAGGACTCGGAATTGTACTTTGAAATTCGGTGTCAGTTTACAAGCCAAAAGGACTTCTGTTTCTTCACCTCCCCAGGTCTTCAGTCACGGCCTGACCTCTTTTAAGAGAGGGACCTCTATGCGCGAGCAGGATGCCTAGCGCCCTTGCCTTTCAGCCAAGCTTGCAAGGCACGCGGCAGCGAGGCCGCCTCCGGAGGAAACGGATGTCTATATCCGGCTCCCACGATGTGAAGACGGACCCTCCTCGCTAGTGAGTCTTCACAACGAGCCGGGCCAAGGGAAGCCGCTCTTCCTCTTTTGCAGATGAGGCAAGTGAGTCGAGGAAAAATAATTGACCAATGTCATGTAGCCAGTGCAACAACCTGTTCGAACCCAGGCTCTCTGACTCCTATTCCCTCTGAATATTTAGTTTCCCGAATAGTTTGAGCAGCCATAGATTCCTTTCGCAATCCGATCAATGCTATGACCATCTTCCCCTCGCGGCCCTTCCCCCGCCAAAGGATAGAATTTCGAATACGATTATCGGGGCTTCTCGGTCTTCCTGAAGTTCGTCCCACGATAAAGACCCTCCTCCCCTTACACTACCTCACTTTCCAGCAACTGGTGAGAGTCCCTGGAGGCATTCCCAGCCCAGGGATGGAGGGTACTGGATCCCGATTACAGCACGTCCCCAAGAACAGCAGATGAGTGTGTAGGGAAGGTAGGACAGGCGGGTACCTGGAGACGGACAGGCCGTTTGGAGAAAGCAGTGGGATTGTGCACGATTTTTGCTAGGGGTAGGGGGAAAGTGCCCGGGAGGAGCTGATCCTGAGTCCACCCACCTGGGACCCGCAGGACCAGGTCTTCTAGCAAGCACTGGGACTTTGCTTTTCCCATGTCGGGGCGATGGGCACGCAGGGGGAAGACCTGCCAGCCTCTGCCAGAACATTCTGAGGGCCTTGTCCTCGCCATAGCCTCCGAGTTCCAAGAGCCAGCTCCGCCGTCCCTCCTCTCCCAGTCTCATCTTCCGTCTTGGCTTAAGCCGGGTGGTTTATTGTACACAAATCCAACTTGTTTCCTCCTTATATAGCAGGTTAAAAAATTCGCACTAATTCAAGAGCTGCTCGGGTCCTTGTTTACTTTCAGTTTAGGAAACCGCCGTGTAAACTTCTTCCCCCTCCTGTTCCCTCCTGGTTCCTCTCTCCCTCAGTCTAGTTACCCAAAGTTAGCAAACCTACCTTCTTGATTTTGTTTCTTAATATTTGAAATAACTGGTGAAGGGCTAATGATTTCATCTCCTTACCCCCCACCCCTGCCATAAAAGCAATAAATAGAATAAAAGCCCAGCCAGCCAACGGCGTGCACACTAGCCAGTAGCTTGCGCACACGTTGCGGGGCAGAAGCACTGAAAAGCTTGTTTGCAAAGGCAGAAGTGTAGCTAGCAGGGCAAGACGCTGAGAAGACCGGAATGATTTGATAAAAACGTGCTGGGTCCTGTTACAGGAGGACTGCTAGTAATGCTAGGCACTAAAATCAGACGGAATGCGAGGGGGCAAGTAAAAACAAACAAACAAACAAACAAACCCCCCAAACCTGCAAACCCACTGTGAATCTTTCTGCCTGGGAGCGAGGTGCTCCACGAAGTTTCAGTTTCTTTAGAGAAGAGGCTGACCCAGGACCAAGGTGCTCGCCAGTCTGTCGCTTTCCCCGAAACTACTGGGTCCTCTCTGAACCTCAGTTTCGTCAAAATAAATAAATAAATAAAAAATAAAAAAAACAAACGGGGATAAGAACACATTTCTGTTGTCAGGAATTCAAACGCTCCAGCATAAATTTTTTAAAAAGTGCTTTGACGTGTATAAGAAACTACACAAAAGATAAAACTCATTTGTGTTATTAGGTGGTGCTAAGGGAGAGACACTGTCTGTTTGACCCTTCCTCCCACGTCCGAGCGTGTACCGCTCCCAAGTCGTCTCCTGAGACGCTAGAGCGACTGAAGAGCAGACCAGAATAAACAGGACTGTTTCTCTCCTTCCTTCACTGGGCTTCACAAAAGGCTCTGGGGAGAAGCACCCGCACAAATGGGAATCCCAGTCGTCAGGGAAGAACTTTCCAATGTCGCTAAGGGTTTGCAAATACCTGCACTTCTAGAGGGTCGCGTTAGTTTTCAGAGTAATTCCTAAGCTTCCTTTGTTCCCACTTCGCGGAGCCAGGTTAACTTCTAACATTCTGATAGGCTCGGAAAAAAGTAACGTGGAATTAGTTCAGCAATTTCGTCTCTTCAACAAATATTCCGGGCCTACTATGTGCTCAGTGCAATGGCACACAGTTTTCTAATCTGTCTCCTAAACCGATCCTACTTGAGAGGACTTAATTATTTACCAGGTGCAACTAGAAAAGGTCTATGTTATTTAAAATTTGGTTCAAGAAGTAGAATGCAGCGTTGAATTGGGGGACTCATTCCTTCTTTCAATACGTTGGAAATTTATTTTGTTATTAAACATTTTTGTGAAGGATTTTTGAGGGAGACAGTAGAAAGTCCCTTTTCTTTATAAATACATTCACGTACACTAACAAAAAGTCATTTTTTTAAAAAGAGCTTTGTTTAAAAGCATGCTTACAGTAAATGTATCTAAATCTCTTAATGGCGTGCACTTCCATTCTCCCCCAAATTAATAGCAATTGACATAGCAGAAAAATGTAGTGACTTGCAGTTGGCGTGGCCACCTTTCTCCTGGGCTGCATGAAGTTTAATGAGGAACTATTTCACACCTCGAGGATATGCGGGGCTAAACACAAAAATATCTGCAGGTCATTTGTATGCTAACTAGGCGCTGTGGTGCAAGGTAACGGTTGATTTATTCTTGCAGGAGAAAGAAAGATGCTGTCGTGCGCCCCATTGCAGAGGTCTGATTTCTGCGCCCAACTCTGGGTTAATGCTTGAGTCACAGAAATACTAGTGGTGCTGATAACGTAGAGACCAATGCTAGGCTTTCTGATCTCTGCCTCATCGAGTATTACCTTCTCTAGTGAATAAAACGACTCCTAAGAGTGTGTCGCTGCTTGTTTCTTAGTCCTTGAGGTAAATGGCGACTTCTTCCCCGCAGGCACCGTCACAGTTCGGTTTTAGCTTCTGGACCGGCAACCCCGCTGCACCGAAGGCCGGGCGGGCGGACTCTGGCTGAGCGCTGCGCGGCGGGGAGGGGCGCGTCGGCGTGCTTCGGCCAATCAGCGTACACACCGCCTGACAACTGGCCAATCAGAGGGCGCAAAGCTCAGGAGCCAGAGCGGATAATACTAGGAAGGGGAGCGGTGACTGGAGACTGCAAGTAGTGCCGCTGCGCTGAAGGCAGCTGCGTGCGGCCGGGTGAACCCGCGGTCTGAGCCAGGCTGGGGTGGCCCGACCTTTCCCGTCCAGCTTGGGTCAGAGGAAGCCGAAAGCGGCCTCGTCGAGGTGAAGCGCCCGAGGCTGCAGAGGACCGATCAGAACTTTGCAGAGTTCGGGATGTACAAGGCGAGGTCACTGAGGACTTGACTCACCTCCTCCTCACTTCCCTACCGTCCCTTCCCGCCCCCACCGTCCAGTGGGCTCGCTCAGGGCCTCCAGCTGTCAGCCCCCGATTTCGTGTCTGGGGGTGGCGACCCCGATTTCTGTTTGCATGCACAGCCAGCGGCCTGAGAGCCAGATCCCAAAGCTGGATATCTTTTGACTCGGCCTCTAGCCCGGGCCTCAAAGTCTTGGTGAGTGCTGTGATGACTCTCGGGGTGTCAGGGAGGGCAAAGGGCGTGAATCATCTTTCCTTATCTTTTCTGTTTTACTTGGATGCCTTGCCTTAAAGATGTGAACCAAGCAGCCCTGTGCGGTCCAAGTGCTTTTGTTGCTGGACTGCCATCTGCAGCTTTGTGCCCAGCATCCCTATGGGATACTAATGATCCAAAGCAACACTTCGGTTTTCAGTTGATTATTTTGGGGAGGGAGGACGAAAGGACCTCTTCAAGCCCAAGGAGAAGTCCTTGTGGTGGTGTAGGATGATGAGAGGCATTTGGGAAGCATGGAGTGGTACTGGGTATGAAGGGGCCCTTGTAATCAAAAGGAATTCTTCCAGCGACATTTTAATATTCATCTTGGCCATACTATGATGGGTATGGGGAAGCCTGACAAGTGGCCTAGGTCAGCCTGGTTGGACACAATACTTTGTGTGATCGGCGAGTTACCCAGGGACTTGTCTGTGTAAAGCCAGAGAAGGCTGCGGTTAAAGGTCAGGTGCTCACAGAGCACTTAGAATTAATAAAATAAAACCCTTGTTGGTTTGTGGATCCCTGGGGGCCCTAGAGATAACAAGAAAGGCACGTGTGGCCCGGATGTGAGGAACGTGTAGAGAGCAGGGTAAATCAAGGGACCTGAGGCAGGCTGACCAAGAGCTCTGGGCCCGAGGCTCAGGAATGGTCCCTCATGGCGGCCGGTGGCTCCTTGGGTCTTTTTGTGTGTCCCCAGAGTGCGGGTGGCTGAGTGCAGGCCCAAGAGAGGCCCCAGCGCCATGGCCGAGCGGCAGGCTGGCTCGGCGGCCGGGGACTGGGAGATCGACGTGGAGAGCCTGGAGCTGGAGGAGAACAGTTGCGGGGCGCCGCCGTCAACGCCGCCCGGGCCCAGCCTGCCGCCGGCCGACGGGGACGGCGAGGACGATGAGGAGGACGACGAGGAGGACGAAGACGCGGAGGAAGAGGGCGACGGCGAGGAGGCGGGCGCGTCCCCGGGGGTGCCGGTCCAGCAGGAGCACCAGGGTGGACTGCCGCCCAGGCTGCCGCCAGCGCCTCAGGCCTTGCCGGCCCGTGCCGGGCACCCGGAGCGCGGCACGAATGCAGGCGGCGGCGCCGAGCCGCGCAAGCTGAGCCGCACGCCGAAGTGCGCGCGCTGCCGCAACCACGGCGTGGTGTCCTGCCTCAAGGGCCACAAGCGCTTCTGTCGCTGGCGCGACTGCCAGTGCGCCAACTGCCTGCTGGTGGTGGAGCGGCAGCGCGTCATGGCCGCCCAGGTGGCGCTCCGGAGGCAGCAGGCCACCGAGGTGTGTACCCGCCCGGCCCTGGGGCGCGCCTCGCCGAGGCGTCCGGGGCCACCGTGGAGGTTGGGGAACTGGAGGGGACGGGCAGCTATCCCACACTCCCCCGCGCAGGGCCCTGTGGCGCCTGGCACTTCCTCGGAAGAGTGGTGAGGACACTTCTCTGCCTGCCCTGGCTTGCAGGGTCGGGAGGGAGAAAGCCGTGGTGAGCATGGCATCGCTGAGGAACTTGGCAGAAAAGTTTTTGTATGAAAAAGAAGGCAGGGAGGCCCATTTGGGACATGACGAGAAAATAATCTTATGTATTTATTTTTTATATTTAAAAGTTTGTTTTGGCGGTGTTGGGGGCCAGGCGGGGAGGAGAGTTGTTGATCCAGGACACGGCGTCCAGTTGGAGGCTCATCACTGCAGTAGTGGTGCTGATGGGGGGGAGGAGAAGGGAAGAATCACGGAACTGGTGGTGCACTCAGTGCTTCTGCTGTCTCCTGGCCCTTTGAAGTATTCAGAATATGCTAACATGCTACCCATTTTATGGATGAGACAAAAAAGTGCGTGGGAAGTTAGGTGCCTGTAGCTCAAGGTCATAGAGCCCTGACATACTATCCAGGCAAACTTTCTAAGAGCCGGGTCTTTGCTGCGTCCCTTTGTGGGACTGGAGCTCTGATGAGAGCCGGGGTTTTCTTTATGAGGGAAGCTCGTGAACCTCAGAATTGGTATCTCCTTGTGTGCCTGCACATGGAGAGCAAGACTTTATGGGGCCTCCTCCCAGACTGAGGACAAGGGAGGATTTTTGATTTTACTTTTTGACGGAGAGGAGCTGAAGAGTGGATCACCAGACATGCTAAAGGCAGTGACCCCCAATGGGAAAGCCTCCTGAGGGCCCCTAAGAGTGCAATGGACCTGGTCCTGGTTCTGGGCTCGGCTTCCTCCTGCGTCTGTTCCCCATGGGTTCTCGCCAGCCCTTGGTTCTTAAGCATTCTCCCGGCCTGGTTGGGTGGCACGGAGGTGTGGAAGGGCCCAGAATCACAAGGCGAGGGTGGGGAGTATCCTTGTTTTGCGTTCTGAGGCCTCCAAGATGTTTTGTTTACTTTCATGTCCAGTGAACAATCTAGAGTTTGTGGCCAGACCTAGGAAACTCTCATATCTTCCCCTCACCCCCCAGCACTCCATCTCACCCGCCCTCCCACAAGAAGAAACCTGCCCTGAGTCACTGCCCAACAACAGGCTTTGGGCACCTTCTGTCAGTCCAGTGAGTGTCCATGATGAAGCCATTTGGCACAACACTCTCTCCAGGAAAGGCTCCTATTGTCTGCCCCACCGTGGATTTCACTTTCTCTGGGATGTCCCTCCTCTTCTGGCCACGGATCTTCTGTGAAAGAAGAGTCTGGGGTGACTCTTTGCTAGAGAAAGCCAGGGGCCCAGCTCACCAGTTGGTAGCTTCAGACAGCCTCCAGCTCATTGCCCTAGGATTAAGGGTTGCCGATATGAATTTGTTTGGAATCATTTTTCACGCAGGATGTGAAAATAAATACATTTAGATTGGTAAGAGTTTCTAGAAGATTTGCTGATGCCCCTGCCTTCTCCCTTCTCTCTCACAGTTTCTTTCAGGGCATTGTTGATTATGTTTCTTGTGTTTACAGGACAAGAAGGGGCTTTCTGGGAAACAGAATAATTTCGAGCGCAAAGCAGTGTACCAGAGGCAAGTCAGGGCACCCAGTTTGCTGGCCAAAAGCATTTTAGAAGGTAAAACATGCAAAATTATCCTTTAGCTTTTTAAACTGAGTTGAATAACTCTCATGATCCAAGCATATTTATTTTTTTCAGGCATATTTATTAGCCTGTGAAGGTGCTATGTGAGGGGAAGGTACTTTCTATTAGGGAGTTTTCCTCTAGGTGCTCTCTTTGGCAGGATGTATACTAAAACTGAAGAATACAGAGAAAATTAGCACGGCCTCTGTGCAAGAAAGCTTTCCTCTAGGAAGGAAACCATGACCTGGGAAAATGAATCTCACATACCTGCTGAGGCTTTGTCACCATCATTTTAAGAATCTTGATAGTTTTGTTGTCTGCTTAATGATTAATGAGTTAACATGAAGTGCATGTGAAATTTGCCCCAGCGTGAAGGACATACAGAGATACACTGCCAGGTGATCCTGGAGCAGATGTCCTGAAAGGAAATAAATAAATTAACAAAATAAAACAAAACAAAATGACGGAACACTTGGTTGTAGCAGGAACTGAATAGCTAGAGTAAGTCAAGTGAGGAGTTTAACAGCTATCCTCGACCTATGAAGACCTCTAGTTTGGAAGTTCAACCTCAGATTCCACTCTTTTTCACTATACTATTTTCCTCCCTGGATTGTCTAGGTAATTGCTGTTATTCCACGCTTCATTTTACCATTTTTGATAGTCGAGGTTATAGAGTCTGGAAAAGATTTTGAATTAAGGGAAGTGGAGGTTAAATTTGAACAGTCAAATCTCTTTCTCTCTCCGTGTTTTCACTTTTGCTAAAGCTTGGGGATACATTAATTTTTCTGAAAATATTACTGATTTTTTTAAGTATCTCTATTTGGGTGTGGAATTTATTTATTGACCTGATCAATAATATTACTATCTTTCACATATTTCTTTAAATTTAAAGGAAAGTTTATATTTGCTTTAATCACTGCCATTTCATGAAATTCAGGTTGAAAGCAGATTTTTTAAAAAAGTAGACATTTGAATTCTGTTTTTTCCTTGTATGGCTTCTGACTTTAGTTGGTCCTGGGAAGGTTTGAAGTTCCTTCTTGTCTCACCCTGTTGTGTACTTCTGACCTTAGACTGGTTTCTCATGAATTAAAAATGAATTTGGTTACATACTGGATAAACAGATTTATAACAATAGGGACCACATTGATAAACTGAAATTGTGCCAAAGCAACTTGAGAAGTGGGAGGACTAAATGGAAGAGTAAATTCAAGTAAATAACTTCCTGGCAAAACTTACCATAGAGATGGAAACATTAATTTTCAAATTTTATTTTATTTGCAAATGAGTATGATAGGTTTGTCACTATGTAAACACAAATATAACAATGGATTCTTCAAACAAATTTGATAGAGGTGAGTGCTAGTGCTTGGGGATGATGAAATACTCAAAGTATTTTATGCAACCAGGAATTCCATTTATGTTACACTAATCTTTGTTTTTAACTTTGTCCCTATTCATGTGATGACTTAATCTGTGTTCTAATGATTGCTTGTTTAACCGTTTTGGTATCTGGCAAACATGATTAGAGCTTGGGAAACATGTCTTATATTTTTAGTATAGAAAGGAATACCATCTCCCTACCCCTATTTTTTTGTTTTGTTTGCACTGGTAATCAGGGGAAGGGACCTGGTGAAATTGTTCACTGCAGAGTGTGTTTGACTAGTTAACAGCTCTTTTCAATTTTCTATGCTTCTCTATTTCCTGAGTCTTTTTCTTTTTCTATTCACTAATCTCCTTTAACTTTCTTTCTCTTTTTTCCTAGTTCTCCTTGGATTATTCTACAACTGTAACAATGTGTACATAATGAGCCATCTTTAGAAAATAAAAGTGACATCAGCCCTAGGTATAGATATATTTTTTAATAATGAAAAAAGATGACATGGGTAATAATAAAACGTTAATTGAAGCAAGATGAGTAGCTTTGTCTCTTAATGTATGAGGGCCTGGGAAGAATATTAATATTTCAGTCAATAAAGTGTGCCTGTCAAAGCAAGCAAGCAAATAAACCTATAACAACAAAAACAACAATAACAAAAAGTTTAAATGTGGATATCCTTCCCCCAAAGGAAACTATTTTAAACCGAACTTATACTTTTGCTTTCTGTATTAAAATATTAGTGATATAGAACTGTAAATAATTGTTACTGATTTGTAGTGTTTCTCTTGCCTTCTGGATTTCCAGGTTTTCGTTCCTTAGATGTTAATCACTTTCATGTGCAATGTTTGCTTATTTTAGGCTATCGCCCCATTCCAGCGGACACTTATATAGGAGGGACCTTCCCTCTACCTCCCCCAGTTAGTGACAGGATGAGGAAAAGAAGAGCTTTTGCTGATAAAGAGTTGGAGAACATTATGCTGGAGAGGGAATATAAAGAGAGGGAGATGTTGGAAACTTCCCAAGCTGCTGCCTTGTTCCTGCCCAACCGCATGGTGCCTGGACCTGAATATAGCTCCTACAAAACTGCCTACAGCCCCAGCCCGGTGGAACCACCAAGCGAGGATTTCTGCAATTTTTTGCCTACCTGCCTTGATCTAACCATGCAGTATTCAGGGTCTGGGAATATGGAACTAATTTCTTCCAATGTCAGTGTGGCCACGACTTATAGACAGTATCCCTTGTCCTCGAGATTTTTAGTTTGGCCCAAGTGTGGCCCCATTAGTGACACCCTCCTCTACCAGCAGTGCCTGCTAAATGCCACCACTTCTGTTCAAGCCCTGAAGCCTGGGGCCAGCTGGGACTTGAAGGGAGCACGAGTCCAGGATGTACTCAGTGTAGAGCATGACATGATGCCACCGAAATTGGAAGGCTCCCTGATGCTGCCTCACACTCCCGAGGTCCAGACCTGTAGAAGTGACCTTCAGGGTCATCAGGCTGTCCCTGAGAGGTCTGCATTCTCCCCACCCCGACGGAATTTTTCTCCCATTGTTGACACGGACTCCCTGGCAGCTCAAGGACACGTCTTAACCAAGATCAGCAAAGAAAACACAAAGCACCCTCTGCCACTTAAACATAATCCATTCCACTCACTATTCCAGCAAACGCTTAACGATGCATCAGCTCCTGAGTTGAAAACATCATTTGTCAAAGATGCCTTTGAAGAGACCTCTAAGAAACACAGAGAGTGTTTAGTCAAAGAAAACCAGAAGTACACATTTACTATAGATAGATGTGCAAAAGACCTTTTCGTAGCCAAACAAGTTGGAACAAAACTCTCAGTGAGTGAGCCACTGTCATTTTCTGTTGAGTCTATTCTTAAGAGGCCTTCGTCAGCCATCACTCATGTCTCTCAGTGAAACTGCTTATACAGAAAGCTGGATTTTCTGCCATCTTAGAGGGTTCTTGTCATTCGCTATTTTTTTAAAAAAGTCAAGATGTTTGTATAAAGAAATTTCTAATGTAAAAAATGATGATTTCTAAAAATTCTATATATTCATATGCATGTACTTTTTCTTATCACATAAATATATTTAAACTTAAAGATGGAAATTGCCTAATGTGCAAATTGTAAAGTTTCATGCTTTACATAGCATTTCAAAAAGCAATAAAATCGACATTGTCACCTAAAAGACCCAGTATTTGCTGAAGCAAATAGCTGTCTCTATCTAGATGAAAAGCTGGCATCCTTGAAATGTGTTTTTTATTTTGGTATTAAAATATAATTCTGTATATTTTCAAGCACTCTTAATGGTCACTGGGGGCCACAGGAAAACACTTAAAATGCTTTAGTTTTGCATTTTGGAGGGCACATCAATTTAGCTGTTTAAAACTGAGGCAAAAATAACTTTAAGGAGAACATGGGGCTGTTTGCACGTTTACAGTATCTTGATTTCATGTGCTTGGATGAAGTTGAATTAATTTGAAGGGAAATCAAGTATAATATCTCATTTATATGATGCTGTGGGTTCTTGGGATGGATTTCTTTTGACTCCCTGGGGCACGGGTTCTTTCCCTAGTGGGAAGGTGCATGGGGGGAGCCTTAAGCTTCCTTTCTAGGAAAGGAACATTCCTTTGCACATTTCTAGTTTCTTTGAACATTCTATGATTTTAGGTTACTAGGGGCCACAAATCAGGTTCACTTGTAAGGTGCGTCATTTCAGCCCACGGTGGGGCCCAGACCTCCTCTCAGCTCTTGTGTTAGTCCACTGTTAGACAAGTACTGGAGACAGCAGGCATTTGGATGCAGGCCCAGTGGCAACTCTCAGCTGGTCCCTGAGTATCAGCTTTATGTCTCCCACATTTGTACCAGTGTCAAAGACTTTCAGCGCAGCTCTCTTCTGACATGAAAACATTTACTATTCAAATTGCTTCAACTGACATTTGCTGAAGCCTGCAGATATTTATCACAACATGAGGGTGGCGTCTTGATTTTTAATACCCTTTCTTCCGTTTTTAAGTTTCTTGTTACTGTCTTGTTTTGCTCAACAAAATGTTAACTGTTGTTCCATATATTGATAAAATTAGAGTAAGGCATTTATGGGAGTATTAAATTCATCTCTTAAGACCTTACCTGTGCATCCCAAATCAAATTCTAAGATGTCATAGTTTTCTCAATACAGCAAATCAAGACCCAGTTAGTTCGACTTTAATACCACCACGGAGTGAGGTTTTATTTCCAACTCTCCTCTTTCCTGGGTAATAAGAACACTAGGTGGGCATGTGGAATGTATCAAGTGTTCAGCAGTTTAAAGAGTTTTGTTCTTGTTCTTGAAAACACTTAATTATTTAAAAATTATTTTCCTACTGATGAACTCATGTAAAGCTCCAGGGAGTCTCTGAATTGTTGTTTAAAATTAGCATCGGTTTCAAAAACAACAAGCCAAACCTTAGGTTGATTTTCAGTTTGTAGTTGTAAAATAACATTTGGTTTTGTTGAGTCAAATTTACTTATTTTTACTATTGTAAAAGCCAGAGTGAATGGAAGTTTGCCAGAGGAAAAGAAAATGAAAGCAGGCTGGGTTTCCAATAACTGTTAAAGATTATCATTAAGTGGAAAAAATGTTTTCCAGCCAAGTATGCTCTGGTGTCAGAGACAGAATCTAACTCCAGTTTTTCCTCTCTGTCATCTCTACTTTATCTCTAGAGTCACCAATTTTTGTCTTCCTCTCAGAAATTTATTTTTTGTGCCTAGCATTAAATGTATACTTAGCATTGAATTACATGGCTTCAGAGGTAATGAGGGGAAACGTATTAGAATAAAACCACATAAAAAAAAAATCCCAATGAGAAGGCCTTTTTAATTCAAAAATGGATTTTCTCTCTTTCTTACTCCATTTTTGTATTTTGAATACTTGTATTTGTCAAATTTTCTCCTTTTGTGTCCAGTGAACATATTGGGACTTCTTTTCTGTCCTCTCTCCATATCATTTTAATCCCATTAAGTGAATCCAGTTGGCTGTGAGCATTAGTGGTTTTTCCTCACATTACCAGTGACCAGAATTTTATTTTTCTTGAACATTTATGAGGCTCAGTACTTTCCCTGGAAAATTTATTATTATACTGTGCATTAGTTCTGCTGTAATGATGAGTTCTTTGAATCTACCACCAGCCACTTATTAAGAGTTTTGTGCTTGGCTCTTTGCTTTTTTTTAAAAAAAATCATTTCACTTCTATGAAAACTATCATATAGTGTTCAAAGGGTATTGTCATTGACATACTGAATCAACTTGTGGTTCAATTTGAACATTTTCTATGTTAAAGGATTATTATTATTAATGGATATGGCTTTAATAATTTTTAAAAAAATTTTTTTATTTCAGCATATTATGGAGGTTGGCTTTAATAATTTTTGAGACTAGTAAATTTTGAGAGTAGTAAAACATGGAGCTTTTCCTCCATTTAACTCATAGTACAGTAATGACATGTTTTCCTTCCATCTCAACTGATCAAATGTTATTTTTTGCTCAATCTGCAGTTCTCAAAGTTGACAACAGTGCCTCTCAAACTTTAATGGATCATTGAGCCACCTGGAAATCTTGATAAAATGCAGATTCTGATTCTGTAGGGCCGGATGGGCCTGAAATTCTGCATTTCTAACAAACTCCAGGATGCTGATGCTGCTGGTCTTCAGGCCACAGTTTCAGTAGCAAATGTTTACAGCACTTCTGTTATTTCAATGCACATTTAATACAATCTGCTGTGGATTTTGGGTTTTAATGCAATAATAATTATATTGCTAGCATGAATAATTTAATGTACATGAATAGTTAAAAAAATTTTCCTTTCTACTAACCCTTTGGTGGCAGAAGTAGGACAAGCCCTAGGCAAGTCATATGGTAGACAAGGTCTGCTCCCCTTCTTTCTCTTTTGTCCCCCAAACCTAGAGGTTGTTTTAATTTGGTTAAGAATATAATATATATTATTATTTTTAATTGTGGGAAAATACACATAAAATTAACCAGCTTAACCATTTTCAAGTGTACAGTTTAGTGGTATTAAGTACATTCACATTGTTGTGCAACCGCTGCCACCATCCATCCACATGATCCTTTTCATCTTGCAAAACTGAAACTCTGAACCCATTAACAATAACTCCCTCCCCTCACAGCCCTTGGCAAATACCATTCTACTTTCCGTCTCTATGAATTTGCCTACTCTGAGTACCTCATATAAGGGGAATCATACAGTATTTGTCTTTTTGTGACTGGCTTATTTCACTTAGTATAATGTCCTTGAGGTTCATTATGTTCTAGCATGTGTCAGAATTTCCTTCCTTTTTAAAGCTGAAGAGTATTCCACTCTGCGTATGTGTGTGTACCAGATTTTTTTTATCTAGTCATCTGTCATTAGGAAGATGCTTCCAACTTTTGGCTATTGTAAATAATACTGCTGTGGGCTGGACATGGTGGCTCATGCCTCTAATCCTAGCACTTTGGGAGGCTGAGGTGGGAGGATTGCTTGAGGTCAGGAGTTTGAGACCAGTCTGGGCAACATAGCAAGACCCTGTCTTAACAAAAAATTGAAAAAGTTAGCTGGGTGTGGTGGCATGCATCTGTAGTCTTAGCTACTCGGCAGGCCAAGGCAGAAGGATCACCTGAACCCAGGAGTTTGAGGCTGCAATGAGCTATGATTGCGCCACTGCACTCCAGCATGGGTGGCAGAGCAAGACCTTGTCTCTAAAAAAATAGTAATAGTGATAATACTACTACTACTATGAACATGGGTGTGCAAATATTTCTTTGAAACCTTGCTTTCAACTCGTTTGGATATATGTGCCTCCTCTTCATCCAATCCTCTCTTCCTAATTTCACTCTCTTCCTGTCTTTAGAAGCTGAGTTTTCTCAGGCACGTGTTCTTTCCAAACTATCCTTTCTCCCCCAGTGTGTGGACCATTTCCGCTCAACACTACTGTTTCCCAGAAAGACTCCAATATCAGTAGTGCCACTTTTAACATGAGTTCAAGTGAGCATGTTATCGGATATATGGACTTAAAAGCTTAATTCCAATTGCGTAATAAAGGACTGTAACTAGCATTAAGAAACTTTTTAGAATTCCTTTTGCAAACTTTCCAAAGTGCTAAAGAGCAAAGAAATGGCTGAAGGTCAAGAAGAAATAAGGAGAATACACAATTCCCTGTAGAAGAGTAAAGACATGACTTAGTGTCAAGGTTCAGTTTCCAATTGGGTCTAGAATTCTTACTGGCCCACCTGATTTCACTAATTTTGGATTAATTTTATTTGTTCCTATTCTAGGTCTATAAACTTAGGTTTATTCCCATAACCAGGGTCTAGTTTGTAAGGCTGATAGTTCTTGAAATGGCTAAACTCTGCATTTATAAACTTGGGCCTGTGGCATCCACCTGTATTTATTTTGATGATTATACCAAGCTTTTGTTATGCTTCACCACCTTAGCTCTTTTGGTTTCTTTTGTCATGTCTAAATACATTTAGAGCATGCTGGACATAGATATCTGCGTATAGGTTGGCATCTGGTATAATGATAAATGTGCAATAATCATAATTAATATGTGTTTAGAGCCTGCCAGTTTACAGAGCACATTCACATTTATTATCTCTTATATTCCTCATGTAAATTCTATAGAAATTTGGTAAGTGGCCATATCAAGAATTGAATTGACATCTCTATGTCTGTGTACACAAATCTGGGGATTTTTCCAATATACAACATGACTTTACATAGCATAATCTATCTCTAAACTTTTGTATATAAATGTTAAGTGCCTCTAATGCTTATATGCAATATATATGATACATTATGCATGTATATTTTTACCTGCATGACTACATATATCTCTGTATAGAAACATCTGCATACTCATTCTACCTTCATTAAGTTACACACACACACACACACACACACACACACACACACACACACATCCCAATCCCAAGGGATTGTGAGACCAATTGATACAAGGAATGAGAACGAGAACCTGCTGGGGAAGCACAGGGACTGATGGCTTCAACTGTCACACCTTTCTATCCACCGTGCCACTCATGCCAAGGCCACACTTTCCCTAGGCTACTTCTCACATATGACTGTGTGCAGCAGAGTTGCTGGAAAGGAACCTTTTTTGCCCTGTCATGGGACTCCTCTAACAGACATCCTTAGCTAG